CCCTAGTCTCTAATAAAGCATTACACTGCCAATAGTGTGTGTGGAGAGTGAATTGACTGGGGAACCTGACATTAATGGTGCAAAGTAATTCCAGTCTATACTTTCTGAAATCTTTGAGTTTAGACAGGAGTAGCAGCATACTCCCCCTCATGGATCACTGCCTTCTCATGGCGAGGAGGCTTGCGTGGTTCGATGAGGCTGTGGGCTATGCCGTGGAGGGCCACCCAAGACGGACAATAAGTGAGGCTGGAAGCTTCTTGGGAAAATCTAATTTGGTGGTAGGCTGGTGGTGGGTTAATGGTCACCTCTTGATTTGGTCACCCAAAAGGCTAAAAGATATGACGCCGGAAGATGAGCCCCTCAGGTCGGGAGGTGTCCAATATGCTACAGGGGAAGAGCAGAGGGCAAGTCCAAGTAACCCCAGAAAGAGTGAAGCGGCTGGGCCAAAGCCGAAAGGACGCTCAGTTGTGGATGTGTCTGATGGTGAAAGGAAAGTCCGATGCTGCAAAGAACAATACTGCATAGGAACCTGGAATGTAAGACCTATGAATCAAGGTAAGCTTGACGTGGTCAAAAATGAGATGGCAAGACTGAACATCGATCTTAGGAATCAATGAACTAAAGTGGACAGGAATGGGCAAATTTAATTCAGAAGACCATTATATCTACTACTGTGGCCAGGAATCTCGTAGAAAAATGGTGTGGCCTTTATAGTCAACAAGAGAGTGCAAAAGTCAGTACTGGGATACAATCTCAAAAATGACAGAATGATTTCAATCCGATTCCAAGGCAAACCATTCAACATCACAGTAATCCAAATCTATGCCCCAACCACTGATGCAGAAGAGGCTGAAGTGGACTGGTTCTATGAAGACCTACAACACCTCATAGAACTCATCATCATAGGGGACTGCTGTTACCACCTAGTTGTGACAAGAGAAGGTCTACACAAACGAGCCATAGAGTAAACCAACAATTCTAATTATACAAAAAGGACAACACTGTACCCAATTTTAATGAATTCAGTTAACTGAATCAACCCCGGATGGCATACCTAGAGGGTGGGATGGGTGGGCAAGCTTTGTGAAGGCCGGACAAAGGCTGGGTGGGGGAGGCAAGCAGCTGGTTCCCTCTTATAAATCTTCCCCTCCGACAGCCATCCCGGGGCTTTTCTATTGGGTCGGGGGACAAGAGGGAGGACCTGGTTTTCCCGCCGCTCGCCATCCCCACCCCCGTCCGGCATCCATCCACCTCTCCCTCCCTGTCCAGTGCCGCAAATGTCGGGCCGTGCCATGCCGGGCCCTTTTTGCTTTGCACAAAGCCCCAGTTACCTTACTTTTCCTTTTACTTGTTTCTTCTAAGGTGCCCATTTTAGGCATGCTGGTTTAGGATTGACCCTAACTGAACTTAGTGAGCTTAACTTTTGACTAAACATTCATCAGACTGGGTTGCTACTGTTCCTTTCAGTATTCTTACCTGCTGCCGTTTATATGCCAAATGGTCCAGCTTTTCCAGTTCTTTCTGAAGATGTTTATACGTTCTCTGCAGTTCAGATTTACTAGATACATTCTGAAGAGAAAGAAACGTTCTTTGCACCTGTGGCCATGTAGAAAAAATATATATATTAATCTTTCATGTAGATTGATTTTACACAAGCGACAAATGCATACTTTTACTTATAGTGCAGCCCTAAACCCAATTAGCAGCCCCCTAAATCCACTGAAGTCCACAGGCTTAGAAGGAGGGTAAGGCTGCTTAGGATCACACAGAGAATTAATATTTGTAATTCAGATGTCAAGTCAAATTACGCAAGAACGCTTTGTTGACACTGAGGTAAACTCTGGCATGCAGCTTTGGGAGTACTCAGTGGATAATCCCATGAATGCTTCCTTGTCTCACAGAACTGCCAATAAAGATTATTGCACAGAGGGCCAATTTGTCTCGATGTTTTCACTGGCGCGTCCCCACTTGAATCACCCTGCGATCCATTCAGCTAATGCAAAACATTCTACCAGAACTGCCTTTCAGAAAAGGATGAAGGATGGTTTTGAGGTTAATCGTTGCTTTACTAAAGCTTCCCTTTCATTTTCAGCAACATCTGTTGGACCTGCCATGTTCAATCAAGTTATTCCAGAGTATCTCCATGTGTCGCAATATCTGCTGGCAAAAACATGAGGCTTTACCTCTCAGATGCTTTAAATGCATCAAACAATTAAGGGCTGTGGAGGACACGGTTACTATGGTAACAAACACAACCTGGGGAGGATGGAGTTAGTAATAGGCAAACAAATATAGATCCTGGGAAAGAAGGATTGTGAGTTTTTCTAAACTGGCCCTATCTTTCTGTTTCTTTTTGTGCAAGATCTATGGGAAGGCAGAATGATAAAGGAAAAAGAAGAGGGACAGGTCAAAAGGTGGGATTTTTTTTCATCCTTTTAACCCCACCCCAACCCAATGCTTCTTTACTGGCATCAAAGTAAGAAGATCCATGAATAAAGAAAGCTTCTGTGCATGGATCACTTACTGGATCAGTACAGACCACCAGTATAGACAAGTATAGCATAGTGGTAGCCTGTTGGACTAGGATCTGTGAAATCTATGTTCGCCAAAGGGCGACCTTGATTCGGTAACTCTTTCTCAACCTAACCTACTTCACATGGTCGCTGTTTTAAGGATAAAATGGAAGAGGGGAGAATGGTGTTGTCAGCCGCCTTGGGTCCCCACTGAGATGACAAGCAGGGCATCTAAATAATGAACAAAGAAGGTGCGCACCCAAATCTAGATACCATTCATTCACACTGCATTAGTTTCAACGGGCTCGGCCTAAGAAGGATGTGATAAAAATTAGAGGAGGGGTATGAATTAAAAAAATTCAATAAAGATACATAAAGCTACAGTTCTAGCTTCCTCCAAAACATGTGCCTGTAACCACACGCATGGCTTGTTCAACTGCCAGGGCAGCCATTTCCCCCACTTCTACTGCAGACTAGTCAGTCTGTGTCTGCACAGGCTCAAATGCAAGAGCTGATTTTACACTGGGCATGCTCCAATGACTTCCACTAAGCACACAGATGGGGCTTTCATATTGGCTGATCGCCCAGGGACATCCAAGACACAGGTCTTGCACATTGCCTAATGCAATTGCTATACAAATGTCAGCATGGTATCAGGAGCAATGTTGATGATGGACCGCTCTGCACTACTGAAGAAGACATCTGTGCCCTTGGAAGATGACGTTCCAACATGGGAGCAAGTGTCAACATAGCCTTCATTCCTCTAAGACCAAAAACCGTATGGAGCAAGGCAGCCTGATACTCATCTCCCCGTTGATCTTGATAACCATGCAAATTGCACACTGGATTACAATGAAGTTTGCATGGCTTAGTTCAAATGACACATTAATATTTTGGGGTCCATAGATAAAGACTAGCAGAATGGGAAACGGCTAAACAACTTTAATATGAAGAGCAATTAAGACATTCTGTACAATGCTTTATTCTAGAACTATCTGAGGTCATGTGGCCTTACGACGACTCCTCAAACTACCAGTTCCTCAACACTGTTAAATATAGGAAAGCCAGTGGGCTGTAATGCTTAGAAACTTTAGAGCACCAGACTAGAATCTGGGAGACTCGGGTTCAAATCCCCACTGTGCCACAAAAGCTTGCTGGGTGACCTTGGGCCATTCACATGCTCGCAGCCTAATCTACCTCACAGGGTTGTTGATAAAATGTAGCAGAGGAGAACAATGTATGCTGCCTTGGGTCCCCATTGGGGAGAATGCTGGGGTAAGAATGAAGTAAATAAATAAGGGAATGTCTTTTTTATTATCAATTCTATCATTACGTACAGATACCTAATAAGCACATTTGTTTAGCTGCAAGTGAGACACACTTTTGTGATACACATAAGCTGCTGGGAAATGCTTGTTCCAAAGTATTTCCAGAATTATGAGAGAAGACCCCCTGACTACTATTTAAGGGCCTTTGATCATGTCTGCATTATCTCATGTAAAGTACAGTTAAAACTTTGCCACCTTTTCTAATTACTGCAAGAATAAGACGGACATTGGCAAGCAGAGGGATCCCATCGTAACAGGGAGAGATAGGCATTAAAGTGCTTGATCAACTCCAACTTAATCCTGCTTAGCAACATGCACCTCTTTAGCAATTATTGGGTATGCAAATTTTAATATTCCTTCCTATGGTATAGGTTGCCATACGCTGCACGCTTCAGTCCAGACTGAACACCTCTGACGCTAAAGGAATAAAATACTGTGCCAAGACCCGTTTATGGGTTTGCCCCTTTTCTTCCCCCCATTTTTATACATTTAACAAATTTCTTCCTTGGTCAGCAGTTTCATTTTTGTAGTGAATGACATAACCTTTAAAATTAATTTTGGTTCAGTGATCAAACTCCTCAATTTTATTCTATGAAAATTACAAAAAAACCTCGGAGCCGTGGAACTGAGAAGCGAAGAGCCTCCTCATCTGCTCTTAAATGATTAATGGCTAGTCTTGCAGCCAAGATCTTCATGAAGGAGTAATACAATATGCCGGTGCACCACAGCAGAAGACCACACTCAAGGGGAAAAACTGTAGAGGCATATATTAAAAGTACTGCCTTTTTAAATTGATATGCACCAGCAAAATAATCTGGACAGCGGACGCTGTGCAAACCGGTGTTGCTATCTATGCTGGATCTAAGTCCACAGAAAAGAGCCTTTCAATTGCCTGAGGGAGCTTTAACATATAATCACAAAAGTTAAAGACTTCAGAAAGGGCAGGGGAAGCAAAGTCAGCGCTCGTTAAAGATTTCAATTGTATTAGAATTTGGCCCAGGATGGCAGTGACCAAAATGCCATTAGTGCTTGATGGCTGTTCAGTAGCATATGCTAAAACTACCTGGTATTCGCAGTCTATATTCTAATTAATGGGACTGCATAAAAAAGAAATCCTTTTGGCAGGCACAGTAAGAATGAGCAAAGGCTGCACAGCTAAGAAAAGTATGTCTCCTCCATTACAACAGAGCTCAGCAATATGCACAGCAGATTATATAGCTCTAACATACTCTGCAAAGGAGAGAAACGTATTCTTTAATGGTATTTTGTTTTCCATGAATACTACTTTTTTAAGGAATGGGGGAAAAGATTACAGTGTTCTTCGATACAGACTCCATGTTTCTGAAATGTTCAACAGCACACTTTACGAATTTCAATCATTTTAGCACTCTGGCAAATAATAATGCAATGAAAAAAGTTTCAGAAATACTGAAGCTATACATGAGACGATTACATAAGACTGGTTATTACTACATGAATTTTAGGAATTGTATTATTTTAGAAAGCTTATCCAACGTTAGTTATAAAAGATATAAGACATTACGTTTAAAAAACAGATAAGAAACCACAGAAACCATTTACTGTTTTGTTTACCTAACAAAGCACTGTTCTATACCCTAAATCCATGAGATATAGTAGACTAATAAATCAAAATACATAAATACTGAAGGAAATGTCTGTTCTGTTTTAATCTGAACTGCTGCATTCCCACAGTGCCCATATAACAAGAGACTTGTGGCACTTTAATGATGAGATTGTGGGCTGGAGTCACTAAACTACATTCTACTAAATCTAAAAATACATTCTCAAATCTTACAGGTGAACTACTGCAATATACCTACCCATGGAGATTGTTCATAAGAGGCAGTCAAAGCAAATTGATAACCTGTTAAATTATAGGTACAATTCAAGGTGCTGGTAATTAACACTCAAGAGTACCTGGGCCCAGCAAAGCTTAGAAGCCTTCTCCTGTATGATTATCTCTGTTGTGCCTGGCAACTGGTGGGATCTTGGGAGGCAGAGTCATGGGGGCACATAGTAGGGTTGCCAAGTGTATCTTCGCCGGGAGTGGGGGGCTCCCGGCCGGCGTCTTGTGCGTGCGCGCGTGCCACGCGCACGTCACCCGGAAGTGACGGGAGGACACCAGGCACGCTGGGGGCGGGGCCACAGCCATAGAGTTTTTCCTTGTATTGCCATGGCCCCGCCCCCAGCGTGCCCACGTCACTTCCTGGTGATGCACACGCCGGGATGGGGTTCCCCCCGGGGCCCAATTCTGCGGCGGCGAAAATCGGGCCTCGGGCCTCCAAAGCAGGGGTTTCCCTGCCCCCACTTGGCAGCCCTAGCACATGGCATCACGCACATCATGACATCATTTCTGGAAAAACCCCGAAGTGACACCATGCCACTCTAGGAATTGCCGGAAACCATATGCTAAAACCACAGAGTTTCCAGCAACATCATGCCATGTGCAATGCTGGCTTTTTAAAATTCTTCTTTTTCTGCCACCACTCAAAATGTATAGCAGGCCATAGCCAGAGACCTGGCAACCAGTAAGATCTACAGATAAGGCCATGTTCCAGGTTCTGTCTGCTTTAGAAGGTTTAAACAATTATTGTCAATAAGCAAAGACTTTTTTAGTTATTTTACATTGACTTTGCAATTCCCTTCCTTGGGGGGGGGGGGACTCTAGAACCCAACCTTGAAAGAATTTGAAAGGTGTGTCCAGACACACAAATCAATACTGTCTTGATGTTTAAGTTCAGTGGTATTAAGAGACTGATTTTGCAGGTTTGCCAACCTCCAGATAGTCAATCCAAAAAGCTGGGAAACCTAGTGTCACAAAGGCGATTTTGTGTAACTATTTCCACAGTTCCAACTACACAGCCGGCAAACTGAAGAAGTTGATGGAAACATCTCCTTTAAGTATCGGGAATGGGTGTTTTTGCAAAGGCTGTTTTTGAAAATTTTTTGAAAATGTGGATTCCTCCTACTAAGTTGAATATGGACTGATATTTATCTTCAAAGGAGGAAACATTGCATTCTATACCTTGCTTATAGTATTAGTATGCACTTATTTTTGATGTTGTGACACCACCAACTTTACAACCATGAAACACAGTTTATATTTTGGCAATTTTTGATGGTGTTTTTTTCATTTTCTGAACCTTCAGGTGGTGGCTGGAAATTTCCTGCTAGTACAACTGATCTCCAGGCGATATAGATCAGTTCCCCTGGAAGAAATGGCTGCTTTGGAAGGTGGACTCTTATGGCATTATATCCCACTGAAGTCCCTCCCCCTCCCCAAACCCCACCCTTCTGAGGCTCCACCACCCCCAAATCTCCAGGTATTTCCCAGATCAGAGCTGGCAACCCTAATTTGCAGGAATGTATGTGTGTTGTTTATTTTTTTATTTATTAAAACATTTATATCCTGCCTTTCCTCTTATTTCAAGGGGGGATAGAATAATAGTTAAAACATTCCCAGCTAAAACCAAAGATAAAATAACAAGCCCCAAATCCCTCCTCCCTCCCCCCTTAAAAAATGCCTGCTATTCAAACCCCTTCAAAAGGCCTGGTAAACAGGCAGGCCTTACAGCACCTCCTGAAGTTCTCCAAGGAGGGGGCCCATCTCACTTCTTCAGGGAGCCCATTCCCCAGAGATGGAGCCACAATGGAAAAGGGCTAGGGTCTGGTCAGTGCCAGAAGGGCCACACTAAGAACTGGGATAGCCAACAGATGGATGCCTGAGGACCGTAGATGGCACACAAGGACATATGGAAGGATACGGTCCTTCAAATATGTGGATCATAGGTTGTGACAGGCTTTAAATGTCATAACCAGCACCTTGAATTGCACTCAGAAACAGACTGGTAGCCAATATAGCTGTTTCAAAGTAGGCAACATCTGTTCCTGGGGCTTAGCCCCTGACAGCGGTCAGGCCACTGCATTCTGGACCAGTTGTAGTTTCTGGGTTGTCTTCAAGAGCAGTCCCACATAAAGCGCATTGCAGTCATCCAACCATGAGTTTACAGAAGCATGGATAAGCATAGCTAAGCCAGCTGAGTCTAGGTAATCAGAAAGTTGGTGGATCAGATACCGCTGGTGAAGGTGCTCCTTGGCCACCGTACATTTCAAACAACAAGGCAGCATCCATGAGCATCCTCAAGCTCTTAAACCACTCTGAAAAGGACAAGGTTGCTCTACACAGGACAAGCGTATTCAGTACCTCTAGAATATCAACCGGCGGAAGACAGGAAGGCCTGGCGGGATCTGGTCCATGGGGTCGCGAAGAGTCGGACTCGACTGTGCAACTGAACAACAACAAAAAACTAGCTATACCTCTGTCTTGTCTGGATTCATCTTTAGTTTGTTCTACCTTAGCCACATGACCACAGCCTCAAAGCACCAGTTTCAGAACCAAGACAGATGTATCTGGAGGCCCAGATAATGAAATACAGAGCTGAGTGTCATCTTTATATTGGTGACACCCAGTTCAAAAGCTCTGGACAATCTCATTCAGCAGCCTGAGATATATATTTAAGAGTATGTGTGAAATAATAGAACCCTGTGGCATCTCACAAGTTAATTCCACACAGTTGACTTTGCAGCTTCGGTAGAGACTCTTTGTGTCCAGTCAGACAGAAAAGAGCAAAACCACTGCACAGCTATGCCCTTAATACCAACTCCATATTCTAACTGGTGGATAAGAAAGGAGTGGTCAACTGTATCAAAGGCTGCTGAGAGGTCCAACAGTATCAACGGGGAAGAATGTCCCCCATCCAACTTTAAATGAAAATCACCCACTAGTGTAACTAAAGCCATCTTGGTCCCAAACCCAGGCCTGAAACCAATGGGTCAAGGGCAGATGTCATCTAGGAAGCCCTGGAGCTAATCTGCCACTATATGCTCTAACACCTTTCCTAGAAAAGGTAAATTGAAGACTGGCCTGTAATTGGCTACCTAGCCAATGAAGTTTTTTTTGAGCAGAGGTCTAATAACTACCTCCTTCAATGGCCTAGGGAGAGCTTTCACTAATGGCTCCAGTACCTTTTCCTGGCAAGTTTTTAAAAGCCATGATGGGTATGGGTACAGAGCACAAGTGGTGGCCCTCACACTTCCAAGGACCCTGTAAGCACCCACAGGCAGAATCAGTCTGAAACTATCCATAACAAAAAGACAAGCAAGCACTTCTAACACTTGAGGTACCAGATCTGCACTCAATTTGGCCTCCAAGTTGGAACAGATGGGAGAGATTTTGTCAGCAAAGAAACTTGCAAAAATATCACAGCTGGGGGCCAAATTTTCATCACCCACAGCTTCAGCCTTAGCTGTTATCAAATCAGAACCACTCTGAACAACTGAGCTGGACAAGATTTGGTTGATGCAATGGTGGCAGAGAAGAAAGCCACCTCATAAGCCTGCAAATGGGCTTTATGACATACTCTGCCCGATTCATCCCTAGTCTAATGTCCTTTTCAGTTGCTTTTAGTACACTGTTAACTGTTACTGACTTTTGGTTATAGGCATCCATGTCCGTTCACAAAAAATCAAAACATACAAATAATTTAAGGAATAATCTAAACAGGCATACTCAGAAGCAAGTCCCATGTTATTCAATCAGGCTTACTCACAGGAAAGTGTCTTTAGGATTGCAGCTGTGATATCTTTTAATAGCAGCCACCAAAATATCACAAAACAGAACGCAAGCTTTTAAGAACTCTTGAGTAACTTCTGGAGCTTCTATTTGGCTGGAAAGCCAGTCTATAAATGTTAACAATAAGTAAAATAAAGTTGGAATATAGTTCTAAGTACTTACAGAAACCCTTCCAGAATTGCTTCTGCACTGATTCTGTTCAGTAGCAGCTCATTTATGAAAGACATTTGTATATCACCTCCCATACTTGGCATCCCAAGTCAGTATTTATGGTACTGATACCACAAACGATACCATTTTACTTCTTACAAAACCTGCTTGAATGGTCTATGAAGGAAAATGTACAGTCTGAAGTAGTGCTACTTCTGCAGTCTGAGCAATGTAAACCACAATGATTTCAATGAGATTTAAGCATGATTGATTGCAATTGAAATGGGGCCTTTGTTTTCAAGTCCCCTTCCCCAAGATTTATTAATGTACTTCTAGGAATACAATACTGCCTTCCCAAATGCAGATCTCACAAGGCAGTTTACAAGAATACAAACAATGGAAATCAATATAATATAATAGCTACAAATTAAAACAAAAACCAAACAGTATAAATTCATTCTAGTGTGGAAACAGCTAAAATCCTCTACATCTAATTTATTTCAATGTGGCTTGCCCTGGAGAACATCCAAGTGGACCATGTACCATGTTCATTAAAATAAAAATTCATACCCACATCGCATTCTGTAAGTCGGATGACTTTTTCATTGTGAGTTATGGATAACTCCCACTACCTAGCAGTTGACCTGATCAAATCCATCTCTCTTCCTCCTCATCAGCAGCTGCATGGCACTTCAGCATGAATATTTTAACAAAGGATTTTCTCAAATGTAGCCCAAAACCGTGGAAGGAAGAAGGCTTGGTAACAAAGAATACGTAATATACAGCTCCTTCACTGGTCATGAAGCTACTCACACTGGTTAGATGTTGCAGCAGGTAGGACACATCAATCATGTCTGCCAGAATAAGAAGTCTTGTAACAGCAGCCAGAAGAGCCCGTGCTGCTTGTACAACTGCCTCCCTTTTGGGCAAATAACAAGGATCATCTGTGAATTTTTTTGCTGTTACTTTTAAGGATTCACCTGCAAGAGAAAGGTAGAAGTAGTTCTCAAATGCATTCCACAACTAAATTCAGAAGGCAAGACTGTTTGCATTGATATTCACCATTTTATTTGCACCTTATCACCCATTAAGATGCGGGCGCTATTTAGGAGCGTCACAGCACTTGCTCATTCATACGTGTGTGTGCACATCACTTGATGACAGACCCCTGTGAATTCGTAAACAGACACCAAATGAAATCCCATGAAAATTCTACAAGTACTGTTTGATTCCTCATGAATCATTCACACAGGGATGTTGTCATGATGCAGCAATTGCCATGCGATGAACAGAAACATGGAAAACATCCCTTTTGGAATGTTTGTGTGTGCGATAAGCCAAAAAGGAGTCATCAGCCATGCCACATGAAATCTGTTTCGTCTTTAAGGTGCTGCAAGACAACACATGCTTTGGCTGCAACAGACTAGCAGGGCCATTTATGTGGGATTTTTTTTTTTTTTTTCAAATATGGCATAATTGCCCTACAATCACACACCCACAAGATCTCTAAAGCCTCCCCAAAACAGAGCAGCAGCGGGAAGGGGGAGGCCTTCCGCAACAAAAACTCCATGGAAATGATATGATCGCTCCTGGCCAATGGTCTCCCGTGTTGCTATCGCAGACCAACAGGAAGTTCAAAAACAAGTTTTGCAGTAATCATACCACCCCAGGGTGGCAAAGTGTGCTGAATTCTTCTCACACGCATTTCATCCACTCTGCTTTAAGTATTTTTCAGAGACATTGTGAGTGTTCTTTTTCATATTTGGAGAGTCTTTATTTCTTTTTACTTGTATTGGCTTCTTGAGTTAACCACTCTTTCTAGTTCTTTCTAATTGTCCTTCTGAACTAAGCAACAACAGCCTTGGTTATCGATCTCTAAGCATCTCATTGTGTGGACGGTGACAACCAACATTCTACTGCCTAGGTTTCTGAATTGCTGGGTTTTAAAAGCTAACAAAAGAATGACGTACAAGAAGCGAGGTGCCTTGGAAGGGGCTTCTGCTGTCTGACAAGCAGTCTAAGATTGCTTTGCTTGATAACAACCTCCTCCTCCTGCTCCTCCTCCCACAACTATCTGCCAACTCCTCCATTTGTCCTTTCATCCCCTCTTTGGGTGTGTGGGTCTTTGAATCTGTGGGTATGTTTGCCTCCTGGCACATTTTTCTTGATTTCTGTAGATGTGAATGGGAAAGACTTTTTCCCAGGCTATCATGGCCAGAAGAGGAGGAATAAAGAAGCAGATCTTAATTTTTATATGATAGGGTCTGTTGTGTATTCTGGCAATTCCATTTATTTATTTATTAGATTTATACCCCGTCCTCCCCGCCAAGAGTATTCAGATGCATGTCTGGTTCATTGCTAAATGTAATGTCATTCCTGTAGTGCTATCCGAAGCAGAGTTACATCCTTCTAAGTCAGTTGAAGACAATGGGCTTAGAAGATGGTAAACTCTGCTTAGGATGGAGCTGTTAAAAACTTCTACACTTCAGAAAACACTCTCCAGTCTATTTATACCCTCAGAGATTAATCTTTCAAGGGTAGGCAGTGCAGCTCTAAATCATTTCACTTCTAGTGTACATAGATAGGAAGTTCACTATTATGAAATTCGTACTGCACGAAGAAAGAGTCAAATACTTCTTGCCTCTTGGAGGCAAAAAAAACACACTCAGATCTGGAGTCATAAAATTAATAGCTTTGTCTAGCTCATATCAGGTGAGACCGTTAAAGATAAGTGTAGCTATTAAGAAACCACAAACACTTGAGGAAGTCTTGACACATCAATAAATGGCTGCTTTGAAAGTACCTTCAGAAATATTGTCCTACTCTTGCAGATGCTAAAAGGATGTGGCAATTGAAATATTTATGATACCCCTCTATAATACACAAAAGCACTTTCAAAACTAATTTAACAGCCAGAATGCACCCTATTAGGCTATGCACTGTGCCTTTCGGAATTCTGCATTAACTCAAAAAGTCGTTGGGGAATATTTAATCTTTAGAAGTATGTGCTACATGCTGATGGCACATTGCCTTAACCTCAATATGAACCCAATATTAATACTTCTAAGTGTATGTCCTACCCCGACAGTGTCAAACAAATGCTCTTCATGGTGAATGCATACACACACTTGCTCAGTGCAATACTGCAAAAATGGTTGTAGATGGACCAGTCAAAAGTGAGTGACACCAGGGGCCAAGTTCAAGTCTTGTGTAGTCTGCCCTACGAAGATACAAAGCCAGCAAGCAAGAAGCATCTTATGCAACACAAATAAGTCTTGTGCTGGGGCCCAGCTGGTTTATGCTGCTGTAGCTGCGTCCATCGCTGTTCCTGGAGAAGCCTTTAGGATGGTGCACAGAGAAAAACATTGCCAGTTCTGCCCCAAGTCCCATCTTCTCTCCACTGATTTGCTCTACTGCACTGCAACTGGAGAGAATGACTACTGCCAGAACAGCAGCAGCAGCACAGCAACATGGATCTGCTTTACATCACATCTGGACACCATAGCAACAGATGTTACCTTCTGTTTCCTTGACATGCCTCATGAGCTTTAAAAAGAAATTTATTCTCCTACAAAATATATCTCCATTTATAGCAGTTTGTGTGGTACTGGTCACAGCTGCTCACATCCTGATCTGAAAAATTCAAAATTGGAAATAAAAGTGGGTGGTACATATGCACAGCTGATTTTCTCCTGCCAACCATAGGCTTGGCATGGAACATAAATAGCTCATCAGCCTCATATGAACTCTTTCAGTACTGCCTGTTTGGTCAAGGATGATCCAGCTCATGATCATAGAAGCAAAATTACTGTTGCTGCCATTTAATATAAGGTTCGAGGGACAGCCTCTACATTTTTGGCATGGTGTTGGGTAAAAAAAATAGCAGAATGTTTGTGTAACAGTGGAAATGAAGTAAATGCAAAGTCAGGTGAGTTTATTTCTAAGAATACTAGATAGAAATCAGGGAAGGGTTACATAGGAAATAAAAGGAAAACAAAGAACAGTCTGTCTAGCTATCTAATCTACACCATCTTGTCTACATCATGTTTTCTTCTCTATCAACAACTCAAGAACAAAGGGAGGAAGATTCCCACCCCCCCAAAAAAAATCTCCTCCTCCTGCATCCATGCCAGATAGCAGGTATGACCACCAAGAATTGATCAGCCAGTAGCCAGGCTGAAGGTCATCTCATTATGAATGGACTTTCCCTTCTGTGGCGGAAAGATCCTCTCAGCATCCCATTGGATATAAGCCAAGCTTGCTACCATTAACATATATAAACAACAGCCTAACGCCTTCATGACAAAAGGTTTACACTTGTACAAGAAACCCAACACATGGTTTCTGCTTCCCCGGGGTTTGGTCCAGTGCTACACTAGGAATTTTTGAAACAGAAAATCTTGTGGACAGGCAGTTGACTCAGGTTACTTCCTGTGAACACATGAAGGGGCCTGATACTCAGTCAGACCCATTGGTCTATCAAGGCCAGTACTGTCTACTTTGACTGGCTGTGACTCTCTGGGCTCTGATCAGTTTAACTGGCGGCACCAGGGATTGAACCTGGGACCTTCTGAATGCAAAGCAGATGCTCTCTCAGTTAGCAGAAAGCACAGAAGTAGACATCTGAAACTAAAGGAACCCATAGCAGAGAAGCTTGCCCAGAGCAGAAAACAAGAAAGCGTGACATCTAGGGAAATAAGAAATGCCTGATTTTTTCCCCCTTAACATGGAACATCATAAAATTTCAAAATAACTTGACAACATGCCTTTATTTTCATTCTGTTACATATACAAACTGCTATTTATCTTGCTAATTATTGCTTTTGAATATATTACGCATGATCAGGGCTTTTTTTGTAGAAAAAGCCCAGCAGGAACTCATTAGCACAATAGGCCACACCCAACACCAGAAACTGATTAGCATATTAGGCCACACCCTGACAGTACAGCTCATTAGCATATTAGGCCACACCCCTATGCCTTCCTTTGGTTTGCCCGGACAGGCTGGCCCTTGGATAGGCCGGGGAAGGCGACCCCCGGCCCGCCCGCCTCGGAGTCACTGGGGGGGTCACTCTCCAGGACTTCCCTCCGTAGCCACGCATGCAGAGGTTTTGGCTGTAGTTGGCGTGGCCAACTCTGAAGCCAGCCGGAACTCCGTTCCTGTGCGTTCCTGCCCAAAAATAGTCCTGCACATGATACAATGTGCTTTTACAACCTGAAGGCCACTGTTATTTGCTAAATGCCCTTCAAACAGTTCTACTTTTAAACATGCTTGGGCAAAACCCAAAAGTTACCCAGCAGCAAAATATAGCCTGGTGCAGATAAGATACATACAAGCCACATTCAAATGGATGAACTGAGACTTCTAAGTGAGGACAACATTATCAAACAAAGTGACAAAAGTATTAAGGGCATTGATAGAACTCTTTGAAGTGTTTGTTATCAAATGCTCTTAAATATTTTTGCCATACTAGTCAGATACTTGTGAAGGTGATGTTGAGCAAGCTTCACCTTTTTGTGGAGTAACTTTGGCAATGCAGAAGGACCATGATTTCTAGCTGGTAAAAAGGCCGCCCCCACGTGGTAAGTATTTTCTCTCTCACCCCCATTTATTATGTCTTTCCCTCCTTTTGGACAGCTTTAGGAACCTATACAACTAGATATGACATTCAGTTGGGTGGACTTGTACTGTGGTGAAACTTAAGTTTGAGGAAGCTTTTGGTGAATGGGTTTATGTCAAGAAGGGAAATCCTAAGAGAAGAAGGAGCATTGCCAGCTCCAGAAGGAGTCAGCATCCTCTAAGAGACCCAGAACACCCTACCCCTGGAATCTGGGATCCCAATGCCTTCCACCTGGGCTTACCCATAAACACCCCTTGGATTCCAAGATCAGCGATGAAGACAAGCTTGAGCCAAAGCTCTTCTCTGCATTAGACTCTCTTTCAATAACATTACACAGGAGGAAGAATACCTGATCTATT